CTACTCCTAACTACACTGAGAAGAATATAAATGGTACGATCTCTGTGAAGGCTGTTTCCATATAATGCACCGTGCCAGAAACAAATTATACGGTTTCTCAACTTAACGCAACTAAGTTGACTGTATTTGCCAATGAAACTTGGAAAGACTACTGAAGAAAGCTGCAAAATTTAGTTAATCTATAATGACAGGACACGGATAGCTATTCAATTTATCCTTTATAAAATTCAGAAATGACGAAGATAATATTGGCTCTAAGTTGCACTGAATTCATAGGTCTCTTGAAGAGCTCACAATTATATTTATTTTGGAGTTTATTGTTAGGTAAAGATTGGAGCTAAAAAATGTATACAACAGAAAGAGAAATTAAATTGCTCAGTCAGGGAAAACAGTTCTCAGTTACCTTCTTCCCATCTGACTCTGGTCGAACTGCACCATAAGAAGAGGGCACTGGTTTTGATCTGATGTCAAGGTTCTTCTGTAATTTATTAATTTCAGAACTTGCATTGCCCCGAGACAACAACCCCTTGTCAGTGCTTCTAAAATTGGAAGCTGAAGCCCTTTTCCCTGTATCTTGCATGGCTGAGTTGACAGTCCGATTTTGCCTACTCCCATATAAAGTTAAAAATACGTGAGAATTTTGACGTCAATACAATAGCTAAAAAGGAAGAGAATACCTGGTGGTTGTCTTTAGGTATGATCTAGATTCAAGCTTTGATGGAGAAGAATATGATACTCCAGAAGTTTGTATCTTCTCACCACTACATCAAAAGGATATTCTTCTCATGGGCTCAACTCTCATCAAACAAGCTAACTTTTTTTTATTTAAAAAATAGAATAAAAAACAAGAACTCGAATATATACCGTCTACTCTCGAGAACGAGTCTTCCCTTCGGAACTTTAGAATCCTAGAAAATTTTAAATTAAAAACAATCAGGTTGGCTTTACTAAATTGAGACTTCGGTAAATTCAAGAAATATTTGTTTCAGAAGTTCGAGTTACATTATGAAAAGCCATAGATTACCTCAACTTTGGGGGTTCTACGGACAGCATGTGTACGTAGAGTGGTAGTTTTCGATGAATGGCCATTTGTGCAAGTTGTATGTGATGTCTCTCCTTTGCTTTTATTGGACACTTTTTCAGGAGTATTGATTGCACCACCAGAAATATTTCTCCGACTCTCACGAATGTTGGCCAGAGATTTGGAAGCTTTTGTTTCCCTTTGACATGTCATCTAATATTTTTGGGGTGGGGAGCATAGGGGAAATTAATATTAAGCTAGAATTCAGATAGCAGATTAACTGCTGCTCCCCTAACTAGAAAAATGGATTTAAAAGATACCATGTGACTGAACCAGAATGTTTTTTGACTTGAAAAAACAATAATGAAGATTAGAGAGAAGAACTGCACCTTCGGAGTGAGAGTTTGCCGACTTCCTGAGCTGCATTTGCCAGTTTTCTTCACTAGTTTGGGGACTGACTCCATGGCTTCAGATGGCGTATTCTCACTCATTCCAATATTGTTGACATCTTGCTTTATTTCAACCTCTGGATCATCACCTACAAAAGTTGAGAATTTGTTCCCCCCACTGTCATCTTGTTCATTTATTTCAGCATTCGCACCATTAAGATCACCAGACACTGAACCACCAACACTGCTGAAAGAATTTTCAAATTTAGGATTAGGAGATGAAATTCCAGGTTTTGGCATTTCTTCAATTTCTGTGACATGGTACCCATGGTTTTGTGAATTGACAGATCTATCATCGAAAGGGTCATCATGATTTTCCTTGTTTATAATCTCATTATCCTCCCCTTGATTCACTAGCTCTAATACATCCTTGTCAAAAGTATGGGATTCAGCTGAATTCTGACCAAGCAAGCCTCCCTTTTTCTTGAAATGAGCCTCAAAGTAAGCCTTTTTCTCATTGACTGAACCCGGTTTGGAGAATTTCTCTACCTCTTCTAGGTAACGATTATGGGAGAAGGATGACCTCCTTTCCCAAGATAATGATTCATTTTCAAACCTGCCAAATGATATGGAGTCTGAGATTGCAGAATCTACCTGATCAATTACATGCAACAGGGCATTAGACAAGAATCACGCAGGCCAGAAAAAACTGGAAAAACTTTAGTGTCCAACTCTTGCTGGCATACCCTCAAAATTATACAGATCATAGGCAGCTTAGAGGTCAGCTCAAAGCACAGAACGAAGTTTTTTGAACTTCACTGTCAATGCTTAATAAGCTCATAACTACAACATCAACACCTGCCTAGGAAACCTATGTTCATCACAGTTCTCTATATAAATTCTTCGTGACAATAAATTACAATAACAATCAACTCACGAAATTTTTAGGCAAGAAAATCAATTTACCGTATCAGTAAAATTAATCACTCTGATGAATAATAGTAACAATAAATGATACATTTGTTGAGCAGAGTTTCAACAAACAGAAAGCGTGACCGTTTTTTTTTTTGAGGAGAGAAAGAATAGAACGGGAGAAATCTAACGATGGCCAAAACAACAGTGAAGTCTATTTCCATAGAAGGCGTTAGTGCGCATAATAAAATTTCGGATTTAGGTTGAGAAACGAAACGCTTATTCGACATGAAGTAAGGCAATGGGAAAGGATAAAAGGCGAAAGCAGTACCTGAAAATCGAAAGTAAACGGCTGTTCGATATCTCCAGCCATGATGAGCTCAATCAATCATCAGAAACCACTAAATAAAAATAACAATAATAATAATAATAAAGAAATCACATGACACAAGGAGAAAGAAACAACAGAAAGCAGTACAGAAATTGGTAGATACTTGGATCATGAACAAAAATACCTTACTAAACCACATTCAGATTCACAGCCGTCAAACCAGAAGACGCAGAGGCTCCATAGATTGTTGAATACGGCTGTGGATTGATGAAACAGTAAGAAGGAATGAAATGAAAGTTGAGAGAGATCACTTGCAAGTAACTCGATGGAATCTGGAAGCAAGCGTGTTAAGAGCGAAAAGCACAAATCTCTCTTGCAGGGGCAGAGTTCACTGTGGGTGGGTGGGTGGGTGTGTTCTCAAATGCCGCTTTCGATCTTTGTTCTTCAAGCCTACAAACAGAACAATATGTGTATTCTTTTTATTTATTTATTTATTATTTTCTTCGGATCTAAGGTTGGTTAAATATTTTTTCTTTTTCTTCCGGAAAAAAGGTAAGAAGCTTAAGAATAGAAAATTACTTTAAATTTTAAATCATGCTAATTAATTAATTAATTAATTAATTAAGGGTTGGGCCTTAAGCGAAGAATAACATGTGCAGCTGCTTTTTGTTGGTTTTTTTTTTTTATTATTATTATTATTATTTACTCTCTCTTCTTGACTTGTGCTAAAACTGGATCAGCCAAAGTCCTAATTTTCCGACATTTGTACACCAACGACGTCGTTTTGATGTCCCTTGACGCTTTTATTATTATTCTCCAACACAAATTTTTAGTACCCGACTTTCCTAGTCAGTACTTATTTTACCATTTTAAAAGTTAGAATATCATCTCTATTAGATAAAACATAAAAAAAATTGATTTATTTATTACTAATTTGAGATATAAATCAATATGCTTTTGGTTTAAGATTAATTCAATATTTTGAAATTATTAGACATCCACATAACTTATTAGGGTGGATGAAATGGGCCATTGGAGACTTTGGTAAAAAGTTTTATTATTATTATCATTGTTGTTGTTGGGGTGTTGTAAAAGCTTTGTTGTTATGTTATGATTGGAAAAGTTGGCATTTAAAGTGCATCTTATTCTACGATCAATCAAACGTAACAAATAAAATAATAAGAACATTTTAGGAGAGGGATAAATTAAAGGATTAAAGAAATAAATAAGTCAGCTCCCTATTTGTATTTCAATTAGTGATGTGATGTATAATAGAAAGAAACAAAAAATAATTAATAATTGCGTGGAAGAAAAATGAAACAAATCCAAGTGACAGCCCAAGTACAGCAATATTAAAGTAACACAAAATGCCAAAAATCCTTTTTTTTTTTTTTTTTTTTTTTTTT